TGTGCTTAAGTAATTAATACTACATTTTATTTTACTGAAGCGAGAGACCCTTCGCTTTCTGTATGAGCTCAGTAAGCTGCAATATCCTGATGCTCATTGAGCTGAGAGTGGCAAAGACATAGCTCAGGAGAAGAAACAACAGACAAATCATGCAGATCAAAGGCATTCAAATGTATTCCTAAATGCCTGTAACATACACTGTAACAAACACATAATGCCCATTTGAATACAGGGTATACCCTCTCTATGTGTATATAAACTATAAAACAATTTGCAATTTGCAATTTGTCTGGCCGCTCTAATCGCCTGGCCAAGATCAACGGGCAAACGCATTTCAACTACGAAATACCGTTTCTTTTTGTTTTCACATTTTCAGTTTCTTTTTTTTTTCTCGTTTCGTTTGTGCCTAATCCGTTTGGAAAATCTGTAAATCCAGTCGCTGGCAAGAATAACAAACAGCGGAAATGTTTCAATCAGTTTGCTGAGTGCTTTTGTTCGTCAGATGGAGAGACGAGCTGAGGATTGGGATCGGGATTGGAATTGGGATTGGAATTGGGATTGAGAGGCTGTATGTGCAACCGCAAATGGGCGAGACCATGGGCCAGGGGCTCTTTAGCAGGGATCTTGGCTGCCCAATGCCAAAATGACAGCCACAACAGCCACGCCTCAATGTCGAACGCCTTTGTGTGTGACAGGCGTAACAAAGACGGCAGCCAGAGCTATGATGTGCAGATAAAGGTGAGCGAGAGAGAGAGAGAGAGAGAGAGACAGGGAGAGCTCTAGGCTGATTTCCTTTTTCTTCTTGGTTCTTTTTTTTGCCTTTTCAATGGTTTTATGAATTACGCATCGACGCCTGCTTTGCCTACCTTCTCCGCTCCGCTCTCCCCTCTGCCTGTTTGCACCTTTTCGCCTGAATCTGACTCCTTGGGCGCAAATCTCATTAGACACGGCAACAAAGCAGACACAGACAGCTAGAGCAAGTCTGTGTGTGAGCGAGACAGCCGCTCCTTATTGAGTTCATATTTCAGCCTGCTCTTGTCTGCCCGCTGCTCAATGACAATTAACACAAGTGTCAAATTATTTGTAACCATAACGCCTAGCGCTCTTAATGAGCACTTGCCACGCCCACTTAGAACACTACTGTCTAATCTCTCAGCCAGTCTCTGGCTTGTTGTCTCTGCTCGCAGCAGAGCTAAAGGGTTTTCCAGTCTGACATGTGTGAAGTGTTTGCATTGCGCATTTGCTGGCTCTGCCGCGGCAAATATTGTGACAATACTAAAAGTTCGTCTTCAATTTGTCACGCCAAATTATCATAATAATATACCCACCCGTTATCTGCCCAACCCCCACTCTCTCCTACACATCGTGCCGCTTATCCCTTTGTTGCCTTATTGATTCTACGCCCTGTTGACCGCCAGCTCCACAGTCCACAGAGGCTGTCTGTCTGGCTGCCTTTTTTCTGTTTGCCCAGGGAATTTACATAGCTCCCCTTGCCTCCCCGCTCGCTGCACCCCTCTGGCCACATTCCACCCCATGGTATGCAACTCTTTACAAGCTTTTTGTTCGAAATTTATTCAAAACGCGTTTGTCTATTTACAGTACATTTACGCACTTAATGATGGGGTTCATTTGGCTCGCGCCTCCCGCCGCCCCCTCCTCCTGATGCCTCTTTGCCTGTCTAGCTAAAGATTTCAAGATGTGAGCATCCAAAATCCTTTGTACATTGTGGTAAATGGCAAATGGCAAATGTTTAGGCTATCGGAGTTGTGGGGTTTACGGAATGAGGAAGCGTTATTCTTACGCTGTGGACGCGAATAGGTCTGCGTTGCTTTTACTCCCGAAAGCCAATAAGCTGACACAGTGGAGCTAAAATATTTAATAGTAAAATTATAATAAAATAAAAAATATGTGAGAAGTGAAAATGTCCAAATGTATCGAATTTCGAGTATTTAAAAACAAAAAATTTTAAATATATAAAAATAAAAATCAGAATTAAATTATAATTTTGCGGGCTTTAATATGTAAGCGTATATTTTTATTATTAATTTTTATGTTTATATAAGATAATATAAAAAATTATTAATAATATTATAATTTTCATTTGAATATATTTTTGAATGTATTATTAATATAAAAATACATCTAAAATGCTCTTTCTACCTGCCTGAGCATATCTAATTATAATTATAATTATCAAAATATTTTGTCAATACTAATAGCCACACATACCACTGTTATGACAACTGCATACTCTAACGGGGGAGTCGTAGAGCCCAACCACAATTGACGTTAAAGTTGAAGGTACGCTAAATAAATTGAGAGAAAACATTTGATGGTTGCGGAGGGTGCATAAATTCAATTTTAAATATGTATGTAAAGCTTGTGTCGCGACCGATGTCGGCTTTAGCATTTTGTGGTTTAACTAATTGAGTCGCCTTGTCAATATGTAAATCGAAAAAGAAGGCTGGGCTACAGCGGACATCTACCACAGTGTTGAGCATTAATTTGATATAAAAACAGTGGCAGAAGGCAATCCCATAGACGGTGCAACACTTGAATGTTTGTTGTTTTAGCTGCTGTTGCTGCTCATATGTATGTCTATGTGTGTGTGTGTGTGTAAAGAGCCTTGGAATGCAACGAGTGTACAATTAATTACGCAGCGCCAGATGCCTTTTTAAGCCAACAGCTAACGTAAGGCTAATTAAAATGCATGACAAACGTCGAAAATGCCAAACGCTTTGCAGTTATCGGCTATCGAATCGCTGCCATTTTGAGCTAATTAAAATGCATGACTCCCAATTGCACGCACTTATTGACTGTCGAACTGATGCCATTTTGAGTCAACGACAAAAGAAAAGCTAATGAACGAAAGATGAACGACTTAAATAGTTCCATAGTTCCTTGACGCCTAATGAACGAAAGATGAACGACATACATAGTTCCATAGTTCCTTGACGCCTATCGAGCGCTTGCCGCCATTTTGAACTAATTATAACATTGACTCAAATTTGCACGACAATGCTGCCATTTTGAGTAAGAGTTAACGAAAAGCTAATTAAAATGAACGACAAAAAGTGTTCTATAATTTATCGCCTTTTGGCTGCTGAGCTGCAGCAGTTCTTGCTGACAAGAAAAAGGAAAAAAAAGAAACACAACTGAGGCCGGCCTAAGGGGGAAAATGAGGTCAAAAGTGTCACATCATGCTTAATGATGACGATGACGAAGGCGACGGGTAGACGGCGCCGAAAACTAAAACTCTAGTGAAACAAATTAACTGACAATGTGGCGTATACACAATACGAACAACGAGCACCAGCTACTGATAATTGCAGCGCTTTCAAGTGACGGCTGGACGGACTAGCTCCAACTGACTGACTGACTGACAACTTCCACATGGCTCGCTCACCTTGTAATTTGAGCCCAAAATTTGTTGTAAGAAGGAAGCACTTATACAACTAGTCAGACAGCCAAAAAAAAAGAAAACAATCTCTAGCCTACAGATTATATCGCGCATATGCATATGGCTATAGATTCTATATATATAATATAGAAGTGTGTGTATGTGTGTACAGGTCTTCTCCAAATATGTTTCCCAGGGCACTCTTCCAGCTCATAATGACGATGATGATGATGCGTTGCATTTGTGTGTGAGTGACAGTGACGCGTCAACTTTTTGGTGGGCCTGCCTGGTCCGCCAGGCCTGGCAGCCTTGCCTGCTGTCTGCTCTGTAGACTCATTTATGGATCTGGCGATCGTTTCTCTCTCTTTGTGTGTTTGCCCACCACACGGATATTTTCATAAGGCAGCTAAGTAAACCACTCAAGTAGGAGATGTCATCGTTGGCGCCAGCATTCAACCAAATGCCGACGACGAAAGGCACTTCTTACCATATTCACACACACACACACACACTCCTCTATATATATACCTTGCTGTTGTTGTTATTGCAGATATATATATATATATAGACTTATTTTTTCGCTTTTGATGTTGTTATATTTGCCTTGCTTTGTCTGTTGTTGCAGATGACTTTTGAGCTGCATTTCCACTTTTGTTGTTCTTCTTGTTTACACAGAAATTGATATTTTATTTCAAAATAAAAACAATCAAGCCGAGTCAAGGAAACGTCAATAGTTAGAATAGCAGATACTCTAACAGTGCCACATGTACGAAAAAAACATGAAACATGAAACATTTAATGTTTATTTTTATTAAAAATCGATGATTTAAATTCTTATTTTCCAAACCTCATAGAATGAATTTTGTATTTTTAAACAATTTTTAAATCCGCAGATTTCTCAATCCTGTTTCCTCACTTCATTAAATTTCCTCTGCAAGACATAAAAATTAAGCCAACTTTTCTATCCCCCATCCAGCCTCTAATTAGAAAAAAACATTTCAAAAATTGTTTCGGTAATGATTTAAATTCTTAACTGTTTCATTAGTTTTTTGTTTTTTTTTTTATTTGTTGTTTTTATTGCATTCTAAATGTATACGTAAGCACTATGATTTGCATACTTAAACTCTATTTACAAATTACGTACACACACATAGAAATTAGAGTTAAGAAATTAGAATTAGAAAAATTTTATTTGAAATTTTTCAGTTTTCAGTTTATCAAATTTGAATGAATCAAAACTGTTGAAAATGTTTCACTTAAATTTTTCCGTTTTCCAAATTTGAAATTAGAATGAAAAATTTGTTTTGAAAATTTTTCCGTTTTTTTTTTTTTCAAATTTGATTGCATAAAAATTTAATTGAAATTTTTTTGTTTTCCAAATTTGATTCTTTCCTTCATATTCATCGTATGCGTATATCTTAAATAACTATCTTTGAAAAGTGTGTGCGACGATGTTCAATATATATATATATATATATATATATATATATTTCGATATCTTTTTTTTTATGTTATGTTAGGAAACAGCCCGTTAAACAGGTTGAAGGATCTGATCGGGCTAGCGATGAATTTTGCTGCTGCTCTTAATAGAATTTATATTTTTCATTTTCTTTTTCTTTTTTATTATTGCTGACTTAAACTTAGAAAAATTGAAACAATTCGTATAGCTGGGCCTTAGTGGAGCTGGGAGCTGGGAGCTGGAACCGTGGAGATAGAAACCCTTCGAGCAAGGCGTGCAGGTTCAGCCTTAGACCCGCTGATATCATGTGATCTCTGGTGCGCTATGCTTCAGCTCGGGCGATGTGGAGAAGGGACGATGGAGCAGCAGCTGTGCGCTTGGATGATAGACCGTGGTGGTGCCGCTGTTGGTGGTGCTGGTGTGATTATTGTTGTTGTTGCTGCTATTGTTGATCTCGTGGGCCGCGGCAACGGCTGCTGCTGCAGCTGCCACCGCCGTCGAGTTGAGTTTCTCCGGTGAATTGATGCGCAGCTTGGGCGGTGCTGGTGCTGATGGTGGTGGCGGTGGTGGTGCAGTAACAGTACACTCAACACTATAGGCAGCCGCATACGCCGGATGATGCAGATTGCCATTGAGCGCCAACGGTTGCGGCAGCTGCGGATGCGGCCTAATAACAATTGGCTGTATGGGAAACTGTTGGGACATCTCCTTCAGGTTGCTAAAGCTTTGCAGGTAGCAGCCGGCATTAAACAGGCTGCTCGCCGCATCCAGCTTAAACGGCGGCAAGCAGCCGGCAGGCAAGCCACCAGCACCAACACCACCACCCCCACCACTCGCTCCATATGCCGACGGCAGCTGAGGCGGCGTAGGCGAGGGCAGCGCGCTGCTCAAATCTCTCGGCTTATCATCGTCCACACTGAGGCTCTCCTCGCCATTGGCCCCGTTCGACATGCTCCCGGGACTGTGCTGCAGCTGCAGGCTGCTCGGCACCGGCGAATGCGTGCCCAGCGATATATCCGAGTCGGAACTATCCGAAGGTGTTGGCGAGGCGACACCATCCGCCCGACGGCTGCGACAGCCCATGCCCGAATTGTTCTGATTGTGCTGTATGCTGTAAAGATAAGAGCAGTACGAGAAATTGTTTAAGAAATTTATTTAAAAATATATAAGCTAAAGAATATATAAAAAGAAATAGTTTTAAATATTTTTTTCAGAAATATAAAATCTAATCTAATCTAATCTATCTAATATGTTTTTATATTGAAGCAAAAAATACCAAATTAAAATAAAATGTTAAATATAAATATTAATAATATTTTTATGCATATGTATATAATTATATTCTTTAAAATATATTTTCAGAGTATATTCAAATATTAAGTTGACTAGGAATTATTTGAGCATATTTTTTAAATAAATATTTAAGTGATTTTTTTTATAAAATATATATATGCAAAATTTTCAAATATTTATATTAAGTATTTGAAATTTTTTAATTTAATAGAAAATAAACTTATACAATTATTTCTATTTTATTTATTTATTTCTATTTTTATTTATTGAACTAAATATTATATTATATATATCATTTTATAAAGAAATTATTATTAATACTTATATATATACTTATACTTATACTTATATAATTTTTATTATAAATATTTATCTTACAGTTTTAAATATTTTTTTGAATATTCTGAATATTTTTTTAGATTTAAAAAAACATATATATATATATATATATATATATATATATATAAATAAATATGTATATATCTGTTGCCTCGTTTATAGCAGTTTTATGAAGTCATCTATAAAACTGATAACTACATTGGCATAGAAACATTTGAATTTTTGCTTAAACCGCCAAGCAAATAATTTAAAAAAAATATATATAAAAGCCTTGTTTACTTGTTGATTTTAATATTTAACAAAAAACATTCAAATGTTTATAAAATATAGCTTTTAATCCTTATTTCTCTTAGTATACTTAGTATAAGAATCCTGCTAAAATAGTCTAATTTAAGTTTTCTAAGAAAACTTCTCTGAAAACCTGCTGCAACTTGGACTTTAAGTAGCTAATATTAATGAATAAGCTTCAAGTATGGCCGAACATCCATCTAACACTTTCGGATTAAGGCGTTTAATCGCTTTCCGATCTCTCAATTAATGATGCATGGCGAATGCGAGGCAAGTTGTGAGAGTTTGGTTTTTCCAGATTCCCAGTTATTAAATGAAAAGTGTTAAAAGTGATTAGTGGATGTGTTGCAAGTGTGTTGCAGTGTGTTGCAAGTGCTGTTGCACAGCTGGTCGCGCTGGTCGCTGGACACGCCCATTAGGCGGCTCATTTGTCAGGGCGGCAGCCACACAATAAATCTGTGGCAACTTTCACACATGCTTAAGACAAATTATCTGTGGCCAAAACAAAAGGCCACAAAAAACCATACGAAATGACTTGATTAGAAGCGAAACGTGCAGCGCGCAGTGGCATGCAGTGGCAGCCATGTCGGCATATTTATAGAGCCATCAGAGAGTGCTCATATACATCATCTTCAGCATCTCCAACTCCGACTGCAGCAGCAGCAGCCACAGCAGCAACAGACTCCCTGCCCTGTCATAATTATCGGTTAGGATTCGCTCAACTTGCCGCATTTTGTTGAGCCATCAGCATTTATAATGCTGCGCTTCGGACAACAACAGCTTTGGAGTCGTGCCACATGGAGTCCTGCGTGATTAATGAACGCGGCGCGGCATCAACTCAGCTGGAGCTGCGAAATGTATCTGCGGCTACCTTTTGCCTCGTTTTTTTTTCTCTTTCGTTTTTTGTATTGTTGCAAATGGAATCGTTTAGTTGCCTAATGCGGCAAGTTGATGGATTATCATTTACCAACTTGACACATCGGCCCATTCCCCTGATGAATTACATGACACAGATCAAACGACTATATATATATATATATATGTGTGTGTGATTCAGATTCTGTATAATTTCGATTCTTATATAGTATAGTCACAAGTTGTGCCAAGTGCAGTGGGTACGGCTGAACTCTGTGTATTTGTCTGTCGCTTGAGTCTAAGAGCCGAGACACTAGATCGTTTAGACAAAGCTGCTACCATAGCACCCATTGGTCAAGCATTGCCTTTAGATAGCCATAAATCAATACAAAATCGATAGAACTTTTATAGAAATCGATAGCAAATCGTATGTGTTTAGCATAAAAACTCAATTAAATCGATAACCAGTCATAGAAATCGATGGCAATTCTCGAAGTATTCGTTGCTTCTGTGAAATTTTAGGTCTTGCGAATATAATAAAATATTGGAATTGGAATTGAAAGTGACAGAAAAAAATTCTAAAATGCAAATAAAATTTTATTTCTTCTTTCTAGTTTTTTTTAGAGTCTCCTAAAATTGTTAGTATGGAAGATGAAGCAGAAGAAACTGCTGAAAACTAAAATTATTAATTTTGTCATTGATGAGAGGTCTGTTAATATTAGAGTCAGAAACTTCTTCTTCTAAGCAGCTGACTTTTGTTGTATTTAAACTTTGTTTTACTGCTTATTAGCAATAAAAGTTATGACGCTGATGATTTAATATATGATATCAGAGCTGCTAATTTAACAAAAGTTTCATTATTGAAGCCCTACAATGAGACATAAATTTCTGTAAGCATATTCTACCCAAATCTCTATAAGAAACAGTTCAGTTTATTTATCTCTCTCATAAATTTTTGAGCAAATTGAGTTTGCGGTGGGTCGCTGTGAAATTTTATAGCTTTTTGGCAGTAGCGATTACGCCTCAATGAAGCTGCAGGCAGCCAAAAGCCAAAAAAGAAAAAAAATGCTACCTGCGCCCATAACCTACGCCAAAAAGACAGAACAAGAGGAAGAGCTGAGCTGGCACGGGCGCAGCTCCAAGGCCGTGTTTACGCTTCATTGATTTCATTGGGAGCTGCTTATAAATATGATATACCAATATCTATATATATATATATATATATATATTTTCCAAACAATTGACCAGAAACAGTTGAGAGAGCCAGAAAAAAGGGTTTTTCGTTTTGGAATCTGATACTGTGGCACCTAAACGAAAACGAAATGACACGTATGTAATTACCCACACAATGACTGACAGAGCGAGCGGGAGAGAGAGAGAGATAGTGAGAGGGGATAGCTCCCGAGCGAGCGAGAGATAGAGTTAGAGCTAAGCCTTTAGCTGGTAACTTGAGCCTCGGATTCGAGACATTGAAATGCTTTAATCGGCTCATGTCAGAAGATTCGTGTACGGAGGGTTTTTTGGGACTTGGAATTGTGAAAACTTATTCAGCTGCAAGAATGTCGAGTAATATGAGCTGATCACATAGGCCAAATTAACAACAACAACAACAACAACAATGAAAATTAAGGTGTATATAACTCTTGCTTAATAATTAAATCTGGCTTTGATTTGTGAATGTAATTGAATATCGCTTGAGTATGAAATTGATTTTTGACTCAGATCTTGATGCTCCAATTGACAAAAGGCTGTTATCGACATATCGATAAATGCTGCGTGCTGTGTGTATTATATCATTGATGATAGACATGTAATAGGAAGTTGAGGGTCTTTCAAGTTCTTTTTCTGCTTCTAAAATTTGATGGCTCTTTAAATATATTATTGATTGTCGATAAAAGATTATCGATTTATCATGTTCACTCCTATGAATTACTTGTATATGTATTTTATAATAATAAATAATACATATTTTATATATACTTTTATTTAAGGCTTGAAACTGGTTTTTGCTATCGAATTATCGATCATTTTTATGTACTTTGAATGAATTTAAATAATTTATTTGATATGTATATTGAAATGTTTCGTGATTGAACGACTTCAGTTTTTCTAGTTCTAGTTAAAGTTTTTGGTTGAGCTTCTTAGTTTTTTCTCTTATCGATATATCGATAAGTTAACCACTCATAAGCCTTAAGCTAACGTTTTCATAATGCAAATACCTTTTTATATAAAAGCTATCATAACTTAAGGAACTTGTTACAAATTTCTCTAACAGCTCTTTAGAAACAATGCAAATTGAGGCGAAACAAATTGAGTTCGAAGCGCATTTCGATAATTGTGTCATTCAAATTGAAAGTTATAAATTGTGTAAATATTTAGACAGCAGTCGCAGCAGCATCAGCAACAGCAATGGAGAAGTCTGTAAAATCCCAGGGGTTCCAGGCGCTTAAGTGGACCGAATAACATTTTGTCAAAGCGCTGGGAAAGTGAATAAACGGGGCTAGGGGTAGCAGCAGGGGAGGAGGGCTTTGAGCAGGGTGGTTTCTAAATGCAATCAACGTTTATTTGGTCGTTGTGCCCTTTTTTTGCGATCTGTTGACAAACAAGATTTAAATTTGTACAATTTGAATATATATATATGTGTATATATATATCTTTTGCTCAGTTTGCAGTTTGAGCTATTTGCACAGCATTTACAATTCACTTGTCACACTCACATACATTCACATCCGGTATGACTGTTAAACTTTGTGTTCATTCTTTTGATATCAATTGATTTCTTTAATACACTTTCTACACGCTGTTGAAGTGGGCGACAGCTTCACCTGGACCAGCCGCTTCCTCTTGCTGCGCCGCTCGGCGTATCTTTTGTATCTTTGTATCTTTCTCACAAGCCACCGAAACGGTAGTTGCACTGTGCAAACAACGAGTCGAGTATCGTCAGCTCTTGAGCTCTCTGTGAGCTCAGAGTTTTTTTTTTCGTATATTTTCGGGCATGGGTCTGGGTACTTATTGGACGTTTGAGTGTGCCTGTCCGAACGCTCAGCCAAGTGGGCACTCGGATTTGGATATTGACAATGCTTCCAGCTACCCATCTTCTTCTTTTACTGCTTTTTTGGTAGCTTCTCATCGGCAGCCTTTCTTCATTAGAATTTCGAGCTGTTTGGCTGGGAGTAAATCGATGAACAGCCTCTTGAGCTTTGGGTTGACCAGCGAACAGTTCACAGGCTCAGCTCAGTTCGTTCTCAGCGTCCTTCAATTTCATATTTTGATTGATCATTGACATTTACAACATATTTGTTGTGCGTGTTTATTTGTTGTTGTTATTGTTGTTGATTCCCATTCATTTTTATTACACTTCTGTAAACACACACACACACAGACTGATAGCACACAGAAATCTCTTATTCCCATTTCAATTGCGCTTGACAAATTGCTTTTGTCTCCCCCAACTCTCTCTCTCTCTCTGCCCTGTTGCCCGCAGCTTACATGCCATGTTCATTGACACCCGCCCACTGTGGCTCCTACTTAATTTGTTTCTCTCCTCTCCCTCTCTCTCTCTCTCTCTCTCTCTGAGTGCGTGTGGGTTCTGTTCGTGTGTGGGCTGTGTTTTTAGTGGCTCGCATTTCATTTATGTAATTCACGCAATAAAATAATCTCTGTGTGTGGATTTATGTGAATTACACGCATGTATCCCCCTCTCTCCATTACTCTCTCTACTACTTCGCCTCTCCCTTTGAGCTCATCCATCAAGTGGTGCTTTATAATTGAAAACGAACTCAAGTCTATGACTTGCTAATTGAATCAGCTGCAAGACGCAAACTACTCAACAACATTTTGAGCAGTTGCTATTTTTGAAATTTCTTTAAATTGCAAAATGATTTCATAATTTTCAATTAAAATCTTAGCTTATTATGCTCATTGAAACCGAGTTAGATGGAGACAATTTTGTTATGTTACTCAAAAATACACTTAATTAACACAAATGCTGAAAATATACTCAATGTACTAAACGTGCTACTGCTTAAGAGCGCAGAAGTTACTCAGAGCATTGCAGAAGCTCAGCCTTAAGTAAAAATAGAATACAAAACTAACGGAACTTTACTCTCTACTCCTTGCGCTCTTCGCTCAAGAAACATAAAAATAACTCAGTGTATTGCAGAAACTCAGTAAACTAAGGCAATGGAAATTAGCGCAAAGTGAGTCGAATCATAATTCACATCAATTGAATGCAGCCATAATTAATTATAATTACTATGTATGTAATATAACTACTATGTATGTTAAATGATATATTTATATATGTATTATAAATGACAAGTTAAGTTGATTTGCTATGTCGTCTGCAGGCAGCGCCTCTTTAGGTTGCCTGTGCGCGTTAAGAGTCATATTCTTAACACTCAATGCGAATAGTAAAATTACTTATTTTGCCTGCTCAACGAGTGCGAAAAAGCTCAAGTGCTTTGCTCTAATTTTGAGTGACATTTTGTCAGCTACAAAAGGCGCTGCAGCTGCTGTCTCTGATTAGTCAAGTGCCTGACCTGGACTGGGTCGATCGAAGTGCAGTGTGATGCCGCTTATTCGTTAAATATATTTTAATTTTTGTTTGCTAATAATTATTTTTAAGTTTTTTCTTTGTTAATCTATCTGTATATATATATATACACCTCTCTGTATATACCTCTTGTGATCTATATATCTATATATAAAATCATGCAAATAGAAGAATGTCTTAATTATAAAGCTTCTGGTATTTTAACTATCCAACATGATAATTTCAAATGTTTCGAGCTCTAAATTGAAGTATATCTTAAACGAATGCATAGCAATTGTTAATAATGATACGCATAGTACTAACTAACCTAGTATATGCGCTTTGAGCTGGGAACCTCAGCAACAACAGCAATAGAGAATAATTAAAGTTAAGTTCAGTTAGTTTCAATTCAGTTAACTTCGTTGGCATTGTTAATTCAAATTGAATAACTAAAATTTCCATATGTAGCAAGAGCCATTATATGATCCATTACTAGGCAAAAGTCAAGCGAAACCCCCATTTGTACTCGCTCGAGCATTGATGAAGTCTTTCAGTTCATGGAGCATGAACAAATTTGTTGTTGTTGCTAGTTAATATCTTAATAACGCCATTTCGGGAGCCTTTCTAATGCCGGCTGTCTGACTGTCTATCCATCTATCTATCTATCTAGTTGGCTCTCGTGATTGATTTACCAACTAAGAAATAACCTCTTAAAAAATATATCTGTTTTCTTTATTGGAGCAGCGACGTTGACTGCAAAAGGCAGTCAAAGCAGTCAAAGCAGCCAACGCAGCCAACGCTCAAGTGCAGTAGCAAAAATGTTAACAATTTTTTCAGCACTCGATGCTTGAAAAGTCAGCGCCTGTTATTTAAGATCTGCGCTCTCCCTCGCTCCCTCTCGCACTCTACCACTCTCTCGCACTCTACCTCTCTCTCACCCTCTCTCCTTCCTCTCTCTGTCTCTGGTTAGAATGTCTGCTCATCATTTTTGCCGGCGCTGTCGATGCTGAATGACTCGTCTGACTGTCTCTCGCATATGAACGTCTTTTAATTTCATATTTTTTCTTTTTATATTTTATTATTGTTTTGTTGTTTTTGTTTTTGGCTTTTGATTTTTTTTTAGCTGAGCGGCTGGCTTTCTTGTCTGCCAAGACAAAAAATAAAAAAAAAACTTGAAATCCAACTCGAGCTGCAACTAGAACGCAGTTTGCAGATGGAGTTGTAATGCGCGCTGCTGTTGCTGCTGTTGCTGCTGCTGCTGATGCTGCTCACTTTACAAGTCGAAATAATCGCCATCATTTTAACTAATGACCCGTTCCAAAAAGGCGCTCCAGCAGAGGCAGCTTTTGGCGCTTTGTGCAGATTCATTCAGTTCCTAACTTAATAAACACGGCGTCGGCTTCAACCTGCAACGTTTTCTTCTTCAAAAGAATGCCAAAATGTTGTCGGCAGGCTGACTGAGCGTGAGTGCGAGAGAGAGAGGGAGAGTCAAGGAGGGAAGCTTGTCTTAGGGGGTGCTCACTGTACAGCAGGTAGAAGCAACTTGAAATATTTGCGCATCTGCAGGAGCAGCGCACTTGAGCTACGTTTTGTGCCATGTCATTCCACTTAACTTGCCATCTTTCACTTGGCCGTGGACGATGATGCCAAAGCGCGCATCTTCTTCATTTCAACTTCGCGCGAATTGGTCGAGTTTTTTTTTTTTTTGCTCTCTCTTCATATGTATATAGCATAAAAAGATATAGAAATATAAAGCCTCGATGCGATGTTGCTGGTTGCTGGTTGCTGCTGTCGCTTGTAGCATGAGCTGCGCTTACAATATTGTTGTAAGTCTCCACAGCTGTTGCTGCTGCTGCTGTAAGTGCTGTTGCTGCTCTTCAAGTTGCTGTTGTTGCTACTATTCAAGTTGCTGCTTTCTGGCAATGCTCCTGATCCTAGTTGCTGCTGCAGTTGTTGCTTGATATTGATATTGCTGCCGTTGTTGCTGATGTTAGTTGTTGCTATTGTTGCTATTAGTATTGCTCATGTGCTATTGTTGCTGCTGTCGTTGTTCATGTTGCTGAAGTTGCTAAGGCAATACGCAGCATGTGCTGTTGCTAGTTGCTTGTTGTTGCTGAGGGACATTGCTGTTGCTGCTGATATTTTTGGTGTTGCTGGTGCTGTTGCTGCTGATATTAATACTGATAGTTGCTGCTGCTGCCGTTGTAGCTAAGCTTGTTACTGCTGTTGTTGCTGTTATCAAGCTGAGCGTGAGCTGCTGCTGCTGTTCTTATTGTATTGCTGTTGTCAACTGCAGTTGCTATTGCTGATTGTCACTGCTACGCTGCTATTGTTGCTGCTGTTGTTGCTGCTGTTGTTGCTGTGAGTCAAATTTATATTCTTGCTGCTGTCAGATAAGCCATGAGCTGTTATTGTTGCTAGTTCTTATTCGTAGTTGTTGTTGATGTAGCTAAGTGCTGCTGTCAGTTGTTGTTGGAAGTTGCTGTTGCCAGCTGCTAGTAGCTGTTGCTGCTGCTGCTGCTGCTGCTGCTAGTAGCCCTTGCTAATTGCTAGTTGCTAGTTGCTGTTGCTGTTGCTGCTGCTGCTGCTGCTGCTGCTGCTGCTTCTGCTTCTGCTTCTGCTGCTGCTTCTGCTGCTGCTGCTGCTAGTAGCCCTAGCTAGTTGCTAGTTAGTTGTTGAAGCGTTTTCTAAGGCTGTGCTCTCTAGCTGCAGCTGTTGCTGCTGCTGTTCTTGCTGCTGTTGTTGCTGCTACAAGTGCAATAAGTGTAATTTCTGATGCAGCTGCTGCTCTTGCCATTGCCTTAGCTATTGCAGTTGTCGCTGCTGTTATCCTGGTTGCAACAGTTGCTCTCACTGAGGCTATGCTGCTGGTTGCTCCTGTTGCTGTTGCCATTATTGTTATCTCTGCTGTTGCTATTGCTTTAGTTATTGCAGATGTTGTTCATGTTGCTGTTGTGCTAGCTGCTGCTGTTTCAGCAATTGCTGTTACTATTCCCTTTATTGCTGTTGCTGTTGCTGCTTTGACTGTTGTTGTTGTTGCAGCTTGCAGTCAAGCAGCATCTGCTGTTGTTGCCGTCTTTTTGCTGTTTGTCAGCGTTGTCGGCGGTCATTTTAATGTGGCCAAAAGCAGCGACCGCAACAAACGTTTCAGAAATTGAGAACGCTTCGATGGATGCCGCCGCCGTCGTCGTCATCGACATCGGCACGGATCAATGAAATGGAAATGGCACACACTACACACACACACACACACACACACACACACGCACGCACACCCGCTGCTGTTGCTGCTCCTGTGCTTGAGATATTCTTGCAGTCACTTCCACTTGGCTGCAGCTCGATATCAGTTTACGCAGCAGCAGCAGCTCGTGTTACACTAGAAATTGTTGGCACATGCAACATGCTCCATGTCGCATGCCGCCCCCTGCCTGCTCCCCTGGCTTAATGATGCGTTGCAACTTACCGATTCTTGGCAGCAGCGGCACGATCGCGTTGTCTTCGATTCTTGAACCAATTGCCCACTTGCGTGGGATTCAAGCCCGTCGCCTTGGCCAGTTCGCGTTTCTTGGTTGGATTCGGATAGGGATCCTGTAGGTACCACTCGCGCAGCAAGCTTCTCGTTCGCTCCTTGAAACAGTGCGTCTTCTGCTCCCCATCCCAAATTGTGGGCGGCAATGGAAACTTTTTGCGTACGCGATATTTGTCCACGGGGCCTGTACGGACATAGATATGTATATAACTTATATATATGTTGGGTATATAGAGCGTATTTGGGGCTTACCTAGCGAGCGTCCTCGCAGCTTCTCTGCCTCAATGTAGTGCGCCTCCAGCCACATCGCTTGCAGCTTGCCATAGGAGGCTTTAGTAAATTTATGATTCTCTATTATTGCATATAGTTCCCTGTTGGGCAAGAGTTGGAAGAGTGAGCTTTACAGATATATATATATACATAAGTGTATGATGGATGTTTCAAGTGCTTAGCCACCCTTAGAGGGACCAACCCTGAATGTCAAGTATCCTGCTGGGCTTTACTTAATCGGCTTGTCGCCAACTTCTCAACTGTTTCGCTTCTAATTTCACAAATATTTCGAGAATTGTCGTCCAGATTTGTCTCTGGCGTTGACAGCCAGTTAAATTTAACAAATTGTCTCAATTGAATGTCATTGGTTTATGCAGCTCACAGCAATCAAATCATACGCTCTCTATGGATTTTCTAGAATATATATATTTGTATCTCTATAGACATATGTTAATTGACAAATGTTAATCAATCAAATCACTTGCTGGAACAAAGTTTATTTGTCTGAAATACAAGTGAATTGAGATAGCAGCATTCTCTATGGATCATAAGTATTACATAGATGTGTTATTCAATATTTAAGGATTGATTAGTTCTTTAATCAATCTACATAAAGTGAATAACATATCTAAAACGTACTCTGTTATCACTTTAACAGAGCTGTTTATATATATTATATACATATAGATAAATATAGATACATATAGATACATATAGATACACTTTAACAGATCTGTTTATATATATTATATACATATAGATAAATATAGATACATATAGATACATATATATTATATACATATAGATACACTTTAACAGATCTGTTTATATATATTATATACATATAGATACATATGCTGCTTTAAGCGATATTTATCGATTTATTTCTCCTATTAGACATCTACCAACTTTATGTATGTCATATACATAAATAAATCGATATTTATCGAAGCATGTAAATTGGGCTAATTGTCTATCATATAAGCTCTATATGGACTTAATACATGCAAGATAAATATATATCGATTGCACGTTTATAATTGGGCAGTGATTAATCAAAGTATATATGGATTATGACATGTAGTTAAAGTATATAACTATCTAAATTAATAACAAATATTTCAATCTCAATACTCATCTCAAAAAGTATTCAAAATATTGCTTTTATCTCAAAATTTTGTTGTTCAAGATTTGGCGCTCTGTCGCACTACTATTTTTGTGAACAAGGCTCTATATATAATTGCATACATGTTTTGAACACTTACTTCGATATATATTTATATTACACATAGCAATATCCAGTTATCAAAATTTATAAAACTTTTAAATCACATTCAGTAATTTATATATACATTTATATTTGTGATTATAAAACTTTATGTAGCATCAATGATATTTAAATTGTATTAAATATATTTAAAGTTAGAAATAAATATGCCAGATATTTAATATATATTTTATATATATTAATTAATTGTATTAAATATATTTAAAGTTAGAAATAAATATGCCAGATATTTAATATATATTTTATATATATTAATATATGATGATCCTATTAAAATAAATATTTTTCGCGATTGGCAAATGTTTTAGGGATTATTACAGTTGAAGTCTGTAACACTAATGGCTAATATAATATATATTATATATTATAATATATAATATATAATATATAATATATAATATATAATATATAATATAATATATAATATATAATATAATAATAATATATAACTAATATTGCTAATTATATATCTATTGTAAGCATAAGAAAATTTCTAATATATTTTATTTAATATTTTATTTATTTAATACTAATAATATATATATATATATATATATATATATATAAATATTTCTATATAAATCCATCTATATAATGTATGCTTCTGCCTAATAAAACTGATTCAATATTGAAACTAAAAATTAATTTTCTGTAAATGATCAAAAACAGCTTTTTAATCATATAGAGCTTGAAATAGATATACTTAATAATTTAATTATTGATGCATATCAAGTATATAAATCCTATATAATCGCATATGACATATATAAGATAAGCTAAGCTTGGAAATTTTAAAGCTAGAAACTGATATTTTTGATATCATATATATAGAGTTATATGGGATGCTATATGTCATATATGACAGTTAAACAGAGTTTAAAAATTTATATTAAGAGATATATTATATGTATATATAAACACACACATATATATATATATATAGCTATATAAATATATGCAAGTTTAGCTTTAACAGCTAAAAGCTTAAGAGCTTCAATCAATCAAGATATCTTTATTAATTAAGTTCTTTGATAGTTTTAAGCTCAAGTTAAGCAACAGCTCAGCAGCTTTAAGCAGTTGCAGGCTTGCTTTAAGCATTTTAACTGTCTGCTAAAAATGTTGACAGCATGTTTAGTTTGATTTTATGATTTGGCTGCAAGTTTAGACAAATTAAATTTAATTGAAGTGCAGCTTTAAATGAGAAGAAGCAGAGAAGCACTTAGCATATATTTCACAATTATTTATTTTGCATATTCTTGCAGCTAAGTTAGTTTTTTAGACATGCATGTTAAATGCTTAAATTACTCAACGAGTTTCTCAATCAGTTTGTCAGTTTGTCAGGTCTCTGTCATAAGCAATATATCAAACTTGGGCGCTATGGGTAAACGTTTATTTGTTGTTTAATGATATCTTAAAGAGATGTTGAGATGTTGTGGCTGTAGCTGTAGCTTTAGCTGTAGCTGGAGTGTAGACAGACATGTTTGTCCACTCGTCTAATAACCAGATCTTGTAGACGAACGTGTGTATCTATGACTAGTTAAAGCAAGTTGTCAATCCAAACAGTTAATTGCAGGCGAATATATATACATATAGATATATATTATACATATTTAGTAAACAATTTACATAGATTGAAAAGTTTTCAAGCTAATCTAAAGACTTTTAGCTGGGCTTTCAATCAACTGTTTCCGGCTTGATGAAATTTGAGAATATCTCTCGAAGGAAGCCGAGTGCTATAAGCGTATCAGAAGCTTTTCTCTATTGTTCGCTCGGTGTTTTATTAATCAAAATCTGCTCTGTTGTTGTTGAGTTCTTTAATTAGTAAATTAATGCTCATTGTTTATTAATTTAGCAGCGCATCATTGTGCGACAGACAAAGCTTCCATGCAAAACTATCAAATAACTCGACCCTTGGCTTGCCCCTCGCCTCTGTTCCGCTCCCGCTGCTTAGTCGAGGTTAATCAGAGCTGTGTTATTTGAGCCGCAAGCTTTTGTTATGGGGGTCAGTGCTACAAGCATTTTTTTTTGGCTAAATGGCAATTGGTGTGTGTGTGTGTGTGTGCGTGTTTGGGTGTGTAGCCTACCTGAAGTTGCCAACGTGATAGGCGACAACCGCCCGAGCACGGAGCACCGCCTCGCAGTTGAGTATCTCGTGCATGTTGGGCAGTGCCACTGGCAGACTCCATAGGAAACGTGCCAAGCGCTCAATATCGCCGGAATCCTCCAGAGTTTTGCATACGATTTCCACCTGGGCCGCGGAGAAGGCGAGCGTCGGCACAGCCAATATCGGACTGGGTGCTATAATCTGGTGATGTGTGGGCGAGAATGTCTCTGTGGGCGGCTGTTTGCCCTCCGTCGGTCCAACGGCCATTTTATGCGTTGAATCCACTGTGAACTAATTCGCATACTATTCTGAACCAAAACGAATGAATTTTGCAGCGAGTACCAATTGAAACAAACACACGCACAATACTATTATAATATTTCGATATATATTGATATATTTATTTATATATATTTATTGGAACGATCACAGTCACTAGATCGATTCTGTATAGATTCACGTTTGGCTGTTTAGCTGCTCATAATGATGACGTTGACATTGACGCTGTTCACACGCGACGCAGTTTTTGAAGTTTTGGTATCAAAATCCTTTTACCGGGTAGCTAATGATTAACCGATACTACTCGACCGAACTGCGGCTGCGGCTGATCCAAATCCGGATTGCGTTTGCACTGAGCGCTAGCTGAGGGCGTGCTATGGATATAACCAGGCGGCGAGCGAACGTACGACCGAGCGCACAAAAAATACGTCAAATAATGGTCTTGTAACTGAGCTGCCTACTATGCGATGGACGACGACGGTGATGACGACGACGACGACGACGGTGGCGACGGCGTTGGTTACGATGGCAACGGCAACGCACAACAATGACGCGCCACAGATACAGATACTCTGGCAGCAACCGAGCCAGCAGCAGCTACCAGCTACTGCTGCCAGCTGCCAGATACAGATACAGCTACAGATACAACTACAAATACAGCTACAGAAACGAGTTGCTACACACACTTGCACACACACACACATACACAGCTACAGCTTGAGTAACAGATACGGATACTGAAACACCACCATACCAGGGCAGAGGCTGTTGGGTAGGCGTTCCTGGGGCTCGTCAGCCGCTACACGCTGAGTGGCCTGCACTTTGTCACACTAGCCATCTCGCTTCAACTAGCTAGGCTGTTAGGCAAGAGCAGGCATACAGCTGCCACTGTTTGTCTCGCTTGCACGGCGGCATTGCGGCTGCGGTGGTAGTCAGCCCCGGTTGCGTTTAAATGATATGTATATAAGCCCTACTACATACACAGACACAGACACACACATAAACAAATACATACGCATACAGTTGCAATTGCAAGGGAGCATGGCTATGTAAGAGGGAGAGAGGTAGAGCGGCAGAGCGGGGGCTAGGCGCATTGGTGATGAGTGAGGCAGCAGTTCGTTGATATTTTGATAAAGAAATCAAATAAAGCAGCAGTGGCAGCGGCAGCGGCAGCAGCAGCACTGAGCTGCACAGTGGTTCGAACTTGCTAATAAAATTGGTTACCTATTGAAAGTGTAACGCATATATTTACCAAGCGCATCAAACTATTTGCTTAGGAGATAAGCTGCAAAAGGGAATTCAGAAAGATAAATAAATAAATATGGTTATAAGTATGATGAGGGCATGTGGATATGGAAAGAGATTCAAATATTAATAAAGATATATATAGATTAAAGCTACTATATGTATTTATATATTTGCATTTCATTATAAATGACATTAAGCTTAAGTTTAATTTATGAATTAAATTATGTATTAATTAATTTTAGTTATATAACTTATAAAAATCACAATGCATAGTTAATTAGTTTTAAATATTTAAATATTTCTAAATTTTCAGCAAGCTTTTCCTTTACATTTTAAGCTTTTGTACATTTTCGCAAACCTTTGTCCCACTGTAGCTGCAACATATTGTATAAGTGTAGCAAAAATGTTTGATATAGTGTGGTTCCGCACGCTCCCAACCCAAATCTAACCCAGCTAACCCCTAAACCCTGGCAGAATACGCAATTCGGGTTTCATTTTAGCAACAACAAAAAAAAAAAAAGAAAACGCAAAGTAAAATGAAAAAGTAAAGAAAAACTTTTGATTATGCCGTCAAATAAGGGAAATATTTACCAGCGCGGTTTCGTCAGAGCGAGAAAGAGAGAGCGAGAGTGGGCATTAGGGGCACACACTATACCCACTATACCCACTATACCCACTGCTGTGCTTTGTCAGAGTGTTAACAGATTAGTTGTTTACATGCCACAAGTAAATGAGTTTTCAAATTGACGCCCGTTGCAGAGGCGTGCCTCTAGCCCACCTCCCCTCTCTTCCTCACCCGTCGCAGCACACCCCACCTCACCCCACCCCACGCTCAGCTGCTCGCTGTACATATGTATTCGCCATTGAGACGACGCCATAGCCATGGCCATATAGAAGCATGTAACCATATTGCTAGAGGTAGAGCGATTGCCATTGCCGTGTATCCGTGTATCCGTATCTCACTCTTGTTCGGGCCGAGGCTTTTGTGACTGAAACCGGTGTCGATGCAGCTGCCACCGTCACTGCTGCCACTGTTGCCTCTGCGTGGCTCTTGTTAAATCTGAACGATGACTTTTTGAGTAGTTGGTTGAGCATTTAGGATAATTGCATTACGAGAGAGGCTACTGATTGCGACACCAACAACAACAGCAGCAGCAGCAGCAGCAGCAACAGCCAGTAGATACATTCACATTAGATACATAGATACATAGATACAAAATTTGTGATAGCGCACGCATTGCGCCAGCTCTCACAATTTATAGATCTATCGGAATTGACAGGCCTCCCGCTGGATGTGCTCATTATAGTATCTATATATCCTTCTTTAGAATGTTTAGAGGCCAAGCAGCGCTTTGGCTATTGATTGAATGGATGAGCTTATGAAGTGCTAGCTGAATTAGGAATAGAACATTTATTCTATTATGGTATACTAGTAAGCTAATACTAATAAGTAAATATTCCATATTTTTCTATACAATTTTGATTGACTATGAAGTGGGGAATATGAAAATGTATCTCTAATTTAATTTTTATTCAATTTTAATTTTATTAAATTATATGATTATCTTATATATATTTTATAATTTCTGTTCCTTCTGCTTTTCAAAATATTTTAGTTTTAATTCCAATAAGTTAAAAAAAAATTGTATACGTTATTTTTTTTTTAAATTTAAAAAATAAATAATAAAAGCTTGCAAATTCACACTTATAACGTAGCTAATCAAAAGAAAGTATTTTTAAATTTTAAACTATTTTCGATAATATTTAGAACTCACTCATTCTAGACAGAAGTTACAGTATTTGATATTATCTTTAGTTAGTCAATTTAAGCTCAATAGCCCAAGCCATCAGGTTATGTAAAATTATTGTTAAAAAAGTTGTTTATTGTTTAGTATAAGACATATTGTATATAAAAGCAGCAAATTACAAAAAATATATATATATAGCATTAGTCAGTTCTACATATCTAAACTTCCTTAGACCTTTAAGTACAGCCAAGTTATAGCCCTCATTTGCAAGCTGTCATTTGACGACTTCAATATAAAATTTGAACTCACGATTCTTGCTCACCAAACGCAGTTTTTTTTTGTAGCAAATTATAGATGCATTAGAAGACTCTAAGCTGATATCAATTAATATTGACAAATGGCTAACGATTTTCAGAGCATCAATTTTTAGTTTGAAATATAAATTAAAAACAAGTTAAATTTGCATAAAACAAAATCTTATAAAACAAATAGACATATGAACATAGTTTCCCTTTAAGAAACAATCAACTCTTTCTACGCAGTTGTCCATAGAAATTCTCATGCTGCCATAGTCACAATAAGCCAGCTCCACTTGGGTTCTCTAGAGTTAATTTCAATCCGCAGTCTAATATCATAATATAATAATAACTCAGCTCCTTTTCAGTGCGAGTTCCGCCCTTGAACTTGAAGTCTTTGATACGAAGAAAAAGCAATCACAATTCCATTCTAATTGCCTAACGAAGCATTAATTATTGGTTCATCATACTTAGAGAGGGAGAGGGGGGGAAGAGCGACTTTGTCTGATGTTTGATTTATTGTTGTTGGCAACGCTTGAGGCGCTAATCAAAATATTCAACTGCCAAAATATTTTACAAACTGTGTCACTGGCTCAATCAAATCATTTGCCCACTGGTCCATTAAATGACAAAATCCCAGCCAGATATTCAATTTGAATCGGTGTGTGTGGGTGGCGGGGCAGGGTAGTGGGAGTATCGTCTAGCCACGCCCAGGTTGTTACTGGCAATGCCAAAAATGTAATTAGGCCAAAACTGAGCGAGTGTGCGAGAGACTCTCTGTGTGTGTGTGTAACGTTATGCATTATGTAAAATTACATTTAGCCAAAAAAACAATTAAAAGGCAATTAAATGTGTTTTAAAGGCCAGCCCCAGCGAGCGCCAAGGGCTAGCTGTAAGGGGTATGTGGTTGCAGCGGGGGGCTATGTCGACGGCTTTGCTAACCGCAAAGTTCCGCAAACGCAAAACGAGCCAACGAACCGTTTTAATAAACTGTAAAAATATTTCTTTTGTTTTTGTTTTTGTTTAATGTTGCCTTTGTTGGCCTTTTGGCGCCTGCGGCTAGCAACTAAATTTCTGTGTGTCCCCAAAAAGGATATATTCCGAAAGGACCTTACATATGCGAAAGTCTGAAATTCAATTTGTAATGGATGTCTATCAGGCAAGACAGAAAGAGTATTACCAACATTTTTTCAAGTAAAAGAAGAGAGGAAATGATATTTATATATATATATATATTTATAGATAGATATTATAGATATTAAATATTATAGATAGATAGATCCATATATATAGATAGATCCATATATATATATATATATATATATATATATAGATAGATAGATAGATAGATAGATATATATATAGATAGATAGAATTAAAGATAAGTCATATATCATATATATTAGATTATTAATCAGTATTTAGAGTATTTAAAATATGAATCGTTAATATAGAGTAATGAAAAGGTTCTTTATATAGATCAAAGAATACATATATATACATACAGATAGATTGATACAGATAGTTTGATAGAGTAGTAGATAAAGCTAGTAGATTGAGTATGTCTTGTTGGAACTGTAGATTAGTTGAGCAAATTAAATATAGCTCAGATCTCTAGTATCATAAAGTGTCAAGTCTATACTGCGAAGCATACTGGATGCCTTACGAATCAGGTAATAACTAACTAATTTTTTACAACAAGCTCTATTTGTCAATGTTGCCAGAGAAGCTTTAGATTTGTTTCTGGAACAGAGTATATCAGGTATGCTATACACATATTTTACGATTGAAATTCTTGTAGATATATCTAACTAACTATATATATTGTATTCACTATCTCTACTAAAAATATATGCATAGCTATCATATCTAATAATTCATTCCGTATCATCATTCATCTTCCTATATCACTCTATATCATTCTATATCATTCCATCCTATATGCTCTTTCATCATCCAAAATCATTCATCCTTCAATATATACTATATTTTTATTTATATTTTATATCCACTAGATGTTCCCTGGATTTTAAATGTTATACAACACAGTTTATATATATTAATATATATATATATATATATACATACATACATTCGATCTTTCGAACATCTGCTAGGGTATTTAATATTCATTGATTCCATAATAGCTGCTCTATCTTGTTTATATCTTTATTTGCAACCCCCAGCACGCAGCCACCCCCCAAACGCCCCTGGTCAAAAGCTTTTGTTGTGTGCGCTTTGCGACTCAATTTGTTTAAGATAATTTAATCTGATTTCATGTACCTGAATATTTATATGGTAGAGCTGTAGGTAAGAGGCGGGGGAGTGGCAGTGGCAATGGCGTGGGGTCAGTCTGCATGTCTGGCAGCTGGCCATACCCAGTGCTAAATGTGCGACAATCAATTGTGAATGTCGACACCTTTATGTCAAGAGCTGACAGGTCAGGCACACACACTCACACACACACAACTACGGACCTCGACAGGTAATAGAAAATGTGAAATAAAATTCAATATATAATTTTATAATATAGAAATTTGAGTGCTTGACAAAAGGGATTCAAATTCAATTTAAACGTTACACAAATCGCTTTTCAAGTTCTTTCTTGGATATTTTTATGAGTTTTTCAGTTGAACTTTTTTATTTGTGGAAAATATCTGCGAAAAATGCGGGGCTAACAAAGGGCTGGATAATTAAAAGTTTTGCTCGTTGCAAATATTTAATATTTTAATTTATACGCAATTTAATAAATCGTCAAAAATATCGAAAACCGGATGCGCATGAAGAGCTGCAATGATTGAAGGCGTAGTTTGACAGACTATCAGATACCCTGTGAACTGTTTTCTTACCGATGATTCGGCTGGCATCTTTAGCTGACTTAAGAGCATACATATGATATGATATTGTGGGTAAATGTGGTGATATAATATATAAGCTCGCCTCAGATATACCCTGTATTTGTTTAAAAGGCATGTCCCTACTCTTTTATGCTTACAACCATAGGTATATTTGCTATATATGTGATACAGCATTAATTATTGTTGATAAAGTAGCAATGCTTGACTCAGACATACCCTGTAATTGGTTAAAATATGTGCCTTAACACTTTTACAAATATAAAAATATATATAGTTACTTTATATATGATATAGCATGACTTGATTTTAATTAAAGAAATTTGCTCGACTCCTACATACCCTGTAATTACATTAAATCATGATATTTTACACATGTTGTATACATATAGATATATAGCAGCTTTATATACGATATAATGTAAATTTCTTATGATTGAGTAGCATTATTTGAGTCAGGCATACCCTGTACGTAAAGTAAAATCATATTATATCATTTATATTGTATATATATTAATTTTTGAGCATTGTATATATGATATAGTATCGGTACAAAATAATAAAGCATGAGTTGCTGCAGTCATACCCTGTAATTACCATTAAGGCACGCTATAGCAACAATAACTTTTACAGCTATATGCATCTGGATGTATTATATATATGATATAGCATGAATACGTTATGATATTGTACTATGGCACACCTATTATATACCCTGTAATTAATTATACATACCTGTGCTGCTTCCATATACATGCCCAAAGCCTTTATCAATGAGTGAGCAGCCGAGATGCCTCAAGAAGTTAATTAAACTCTTTAAACTTACAGGGTATATAAATCAGAATAGCTTCATAAGGACAACACGATCACCAATTGCATCGATGATGATGAAAGATCGGCGCTGTGGCCAGGCATTCGATTAATTTACATCGTTCTCTGTTTTGACCGACCGACTGCGCCGGCGTTTAGAGTAGGAGCCGAAGTGGAAGCAGGAGACAGACAGATGAAGTAGGAGACAGTCACATATTTGCGTTGTTTTGCTGCTGGTGCGATTGGGCTGCATTCCATAGTCATAAGGCTCATGTGGAATGCCTTTGGGCATTAGGTTGTCCCAACAATGTGAGCAATGCACAGCAAATGTATTGAGCTGCATTTAATAATTATGCCGCGCAGGCCCAAGGAGCACCCGATGATCATGATGATGATGATGATTGCGTTAATTATGATCATGATGATCATAATGTTGCGGATGCTGTTGATGAGTGTGTGGAACAGAGCTGCGCATTTGCTGATATTTCCTCTTCTTGTTGTTCTTTTTGGGCTGCCTAATGGAAATGTCAGAGGCTCAGTGTCAGCTGCGCGCCCAGAGCTCATCAGCAGGCGGACTTATATATACACATAGATATGTATATATTTGGTGCTGGGACATTTTTTTGGGGCTACTGTGCGCATATTAAACAGAGCAAAGAGATCCATACAAACTGCAGAGCTGGCAAGTGATACGCGGCACGAAACATGCGTGAAATCTGCACAAGATTAGGTGAGTGTGTGTAGGTGAGAGAGTGCAAGTGTGTCTGTGTGCGTGTGTGCGTGTGTGATGTGTCTGAGCCTGTCGTTGACCACTTGGCAGGCTTTTGCTTTAATATATGTAGGTCCAACTGGCAACGCAAAAAGTGTGAAATTGTCGACTACTGCATGTGGCATGAAGAAGGAGCAACAGACAACAGGCAACAGACAACAGGCAGCAGGCTGCAGGCAGCTTGCCGCAGGTAAGCAGAGCGAACTGAACTGCGCAGCTTTAATTAAGTCATTAACACCAATCAGAGTGGACACAGTGAGCACACTGAGCAGCGGCTGCGGCTGCGACGGCGACGGCAACGGCAACCACAGTTGGGCCACAATATCGAATTTGCCATTTTTGGTCAAAATTATCTGTTTTGCGGTTGACGATACTGTTTACCAATAAAATATCAATTATGCGTGCCCCTAGGGTAACAGCTGCACAAGCTTGGCCCATTAATGAGGTACAACTTATGTTAACTATCCCACGGTCTGCTCACTAATCGAACAGAACAAATGGGCGTTTGCATAACAAGCGCTAACTGGTTAATTACACGCGATTGCTTTACAAATCGACTTTTTATAGCGTACCTCGTTTCGTAGTGTCTGCTAAAAAGCCTGATTATGCAGCGCATATTTCATGTAATTACAACTAGCGGCACTTTCGCCGCTGTCTCTGAACAAAAGAGCGCAGCAATTACACTAGACAACAACTAATTTGTCGCCAGCAGTCGCGTGATATAAATCAAATATATTTGTATTGTATTAAATTAATTTTTAAGTTCGAAATCCACAAAAATTAAATTCAAGCTATATTAAGAAAAAAAAATAAGCGATAGATTTATGTTTGTAACAGAAAAGAAGTTACATTTTGTCTAACAGTGTGCGCTACCGATTGAAGCCTTCTCCTACCAGTGTCTTTTGTCTTGCCGTTTATTATATATAGGTGCTTTCAGCTTGTGTCTCTCATTACTTCTCTCTCACTCTGCCCCTCCCGCTGATAGGTAGTGTCAATTAATGAGCGACGTCTGTCCCGTTTCGTCGCACAAAGAGAAACGTCAAAATGCGCGTCAAATGCGCAATGAGCTTAATTCGTTGTACGACTGCGCGCACACTCGCACACACATACACAGCCACGTATTAACCATATGTTAGCCATCTCGTTCCCACTTGTGAGCAATTGTCACTCAATCAGCCTTTTGTTTTAAAGCAGAGGGGGAAACAACTGCTGGGTAATTGAACGCATCGCAGCCACTTTGTTTTTTTCTTTGTCTTTTTGCTTCTCTTCTCTTTGTATGGAATTTAAAATACCCTGTGGAGATGTTACAAGTGTAAACATAATATTCAACTAAATTATTAACCAAATTTAAGTAACTGTGAGTAAAAATAAGAAAACTTAATATCTAAAATATGTATATGTAGATTTATTTAATCATCGTCGTACATTAACCTAGGTTAAGTTAGTATAGGGTATTTTCTAGTGCATCATCAATCGGTGCACCATTAATACTTGTTTGCGGCTGCCTTTTTTTGTGACTTTTATATAAATTGTTGTAACGCCTATTCGGAGCAATGTTTTGGCAAAGCAACGACCAGAAGCCAGTAGCTGTAGAGGGGCTCGAGGCGCAGATATTATATAGAAGCGCAGGCCATTGTTCCAAGCATAACTCATTAAGAGTGGAACTGGCCTAAGTGTCGACATGGACGTTGGGAATGCTGAATGTATTTTTTTTATATATCTTTTCTTTTTTTTTTTTTTTTTGTAAATATAAATGTGAATGGGAGTGTGTGGAGTGACCGAGCCTTGGGCCTATTAATTAGATAACTATCTTGAGAAATTGCCCATTTTCAAATAGTCGGCGAGCATTTGTGTAATTAGATTTGCTTTTCACAACATTTACGTTTGCTCGGGTCGGACGTTGATTGCATTTGGCGGCTGGCGGCTGACGACTCAAATAACCTGAGCGATTAATCATGGCACGACTCGAGCCAACAACAACAACAGCAACTAGTGCCGAAGTTAACTTCAGACATCTGCTGTATATATGTAAGTATACCTGTATATAAAAGGAAAAAACGCGCCTTGCGGTTTGTCACAATTTATGAGGTGATAATTATTCATCGCAAGCCGCAAAACTGTCATAATATTGTAATTAACATTAAGAGTCGCAATGAAATTAAACGCATTTCATTGCAGGTCGCTTGGACTTTCACTCGACCCTAATTTCGGTTCGCATGCTGACCAAGTTGATTTCCGTATTACCTCGAATCGAAAACGGAAATGAGCCGCCGCAATCGTCAATCATCAATCGATAACCATCGTTGCATCGTGTAAAAGGAAACTTTTAGAAAAAATGAAAATTGTAAACTAGAAAATCGACAAACTAATCACATGAAAAGGAAATGAACTGCAGCCCAATGAAACCTGGCCACAGGCAACAGCCAACAGCAAAAGGTAAAAGGAAAAGGTAAACGACAAACAGTAAACGGTAAATGGTAAATGGTAAATGGTAATCTAAAGCCAAGGAATCAACAAGGAATCAGAGCCGAGAGCTCCGCAATTTGAGTGCTCTGCATTTGACACCAAGACAAAATTTCTGATTTAAAGGCAAGTCTAGACTTGAGATCAGAGATAAGTCAAATCTCAGCTCTAAGCCGCAAGGTCTACAACAATAACAAATGCTCTAACAACTAAAGCAGCTTCTAAGCAGATATTATGTAAGTCATTAGCAGAGGTTTTTGTTGAAAAGGTAATAAGATATGTAATTATAATAGTGGATTAAAGCAGAGAACTCTATATATAACATGATTTTATGACTATCAAAAAATATATTAATATTTTGTGAGTATAAAAAATTTTAAAAAAATATAAAAAAAATGCCTAATCATTAAATATAAATGCAGTTCACTTAACTAAATTGATTCATTTATATTATTAAAATATTAAAATATATTTAAAAAGAAGAAATAAATCTACATTGAAATATATCTTAAAATAAATAATTATAATGTAGTTATTAATGAATTATTTTTATTTTTTTTTTAGTTATTTTTTATTGTTTTTTTTTTTAAGTTTGTATTTTAGTTTTCTTTTTAGTTTCTTTTTTAGTTTTTTTTTTTTAGAATAAGCCATCTTTTTACAGCTTGATTTATTTTAATAGTTTCCAAATATATATTTTTATATTATTAATATTAAAATAAGACTTAAATTAATTTTGAACCAACATTTTTTATTGTTTTTCTCCATTTTATATATATATTTATTATTATTTTTTTTAGCTTGCGAGTTCTTTTTACAGAATTATTTTAATAAATATTTTAAAATTTTTTTATATATATATGTTAATATTTGTTAATAATAAAATTATTTTTAAATCAAAAAATATATATTTTATATTTATATTCTTTATTTAATTTTTTTATTTATTTTTCCCTAATAATTGTTATTTAATATCTGTTTTGTGATTTATATTTATTTCAATTTTTAATGCTTAAATATTTTTTATTATCTATATTTTGTTATTATTGATTTTAATATATTTCAAGCTGCTCAACTTGAATTGGAACTGACGAAACGATTTATCGTAATGAACTCTTGTGACTTTGCGTGACAAATTGCCCAACCCTTAATTACTTACTATTTGACTCCGGAAGCACCCTTATGTGTGTCTGTGCTATATGCTTATATTATCATGGCTCCGACTGTGCCGCGGATTATGCTAACATTTGGCCAGGCCGTGTAATTTGAATCGCAACATGGAATCCAACACTTCGAGGCTTGATTGGCAATGCCTGCTGCATACCTTGTGGAAACTGAATGTGGAATGGGATATGTATAAGTGTATATACAATTTCTATATATATACGCATATATATATTGTTACAGTCCTAATGATATAATGGACTTTGCGCTCCATGACTTTGCTTGGGCAACAGTTACTTTTTTTTTGATTTTCTTTTATTTTTAATTTCATTATGCAGCACAAAAGGCGACGTGAATGCATTTGTAACTGTAAATATATACTGTATATATATATATTTGACTGTGCATGGAATTTTCAATTTATTTGTATTACGCAAGTTGAAAATTTGTTGAGAAAAACTGAATTGTAGCCAAGGCATTCAGTTTGTCTCGGGGGTTGCTGCTGCTGATGCTGTCCCGGTCTATGGCTCTTCCAGAAAAAGTATATATAAAAGGGGGAGTGGTTAGACGCCCAACCCGAAAGGGCGCGACTATGCGGCGCCATTTCCAAATCAACTTTTACCCAGTGGCGTAGTCGCAAAGTGGAAAAACTAAAAATGCTGGAAAACTGTGAACTGCATTTGTTAAGGGAAAATTTGTAAAGCTTTGATTGTCACTTGGTTTAAGGTGATAATTGAATAGTCTTAAATAGAATGTATACATGGTGCAGCATACAGCTGCAGAACTATTTATAGATTTACAATTTCATAAACGTGGAGTCTACATAGATCGATCCTTCAACTTTCTTTCAAACACATTTTAGTTTTATGAACTCCATTTGTAGCCTGATAAGACTTGATTTTCTTGTACGTATAGCATAGCTGTCTAGTCTTATGTATAGAGAGATATATGTGTGTATAGAATCAATGCAAATAATTGATCAATTATATTTTTGTAGATAAAGTTTGGAAGCAGCGAAAAAAAGGAAGTAATTTGAACTGTGGAATATATAGTCAGAGATCATATGTACTTAGATTAAATATGACCTTAAGCATATGTGGAATGTATCAAAAATAACTTCAAAATGTTGGGTTCAGATAAGCCTGTGAGATATATTTTAACGAAGCAATTATAAGATCATGACTTAAAAGGATAATTAACTGAAAGATAAAATTGTGCTTTTATGTATATATATTTATAAAGAAGTCACACATATATATATATATATATATATATATATATATATATATATATATATATATATATATATATATATATATATATATATATATATATATATATATATATATATATATATATATATATATATATATATCATTTAACATATAAAACTTACTTTTGATACATTTTCAGATAGTTTAAAAGTATCTGGTAGACTTTTGAGAGTCTTTATAAGTATCTGAGAAGCATATAAACAAAGTCAAAAGGTATTAATAGGAATTATTATAGCAAAGATATTTCTCATTATCCTATATCACATAATATATATAGAAGTTCTTCATAGATAGTTTTTTTCACTTCAAATCCCAGATAAATATATAGATAACGCCAATCAAAATTATCTGCTCAGACAACGCACAAACATGAGAAAGGAAATAGAAATGGATCCAATAAATTTAGACTACGCCCATGCGAGAGCATCGGACGCTGCGCGGAGCATGCTGCTCCTGCTGCCCCTGCTGCTGGCTAACAGGAAGCTCACG